CCAGAAACGACGGAAAGCAGCTGCACGACGTCTTGGACGCATCGCCACCAAGCGTCAGCCTGTACCTTGCAGGCAGCGGAAGCAATTCTCCAACCAGGGACCGATGGCATCGGCCACCAATAACCACCGAGTGCATGGAGCCTCGCCCTCGGAGGTCTTGAAGATTAGGCAGCAATATGCGAAAGCTATTCGGAGACCCTGGGCGGGCAGATGCTTAACCGCACTCTTGGAATTGAAAGGAGACGACCCTGGAGTAGCCACACCTAAGCTGCAGGTGCATTCTTGGTTCGATATGTGGGCTAAGAGGCCTGACTTTCGCAGCGTCATTATCAAGGTGTGGCCCAACATTCGTCAAAGACTCGGACACGGCTCCTCGATATCGCTGGCCGCAAAAACGCGGCGCTATCGGCTGTGTGATTCTTACTTTGTGGGAATGTGGTTGGGGCGGCATTGTTGCAGACGCGTGGGTGGACGCTGAGGGCAGCACTTGGGCATTCACGGACCCCGAGCAGGCCGGCGACCCCGCCACCTTGATCGACACTTTGGTTTCTGATATCAAACTCACGCAGTGGAAGAAAGCAGCGCAGCAATGCCATGGACTTGGGCGTGAACACGGCGTGGACAATATTGACCTGCGGAGGCGGCTTCGTTCGCTGATGAACCAATGCCGCCGCGCGGAGCGCGGGGCCCTACCTGCAGCAGCTTGCGCAGGCACCTGGTCAGGCAAGCGGATATCCAATGCAGGGGGCAAGGGGGGCCTGTGCAGCTGCGGACGCGAGGGGGGTGAGTGCCACAGGATCTGGGGACAGTGCCAGGTGCGGGAAAGTGAGCCAGCGCACGGGAAGTCGAGCTATCTTCAACGACGTGCTGACGACCTGTATGAGACCATCCCAGCCTTTTGGTTACGAGGCCTCACTCCGAGGAAATGGACCTGCCCTGACCCGTGCGAGACGACCGACTGCGAGACAGCCATGGGGGAGCGCATCGGCGCCAACAGGATTTACTCCCCTAGCAGCGACCCCTTGGTCATCTATGGCGACGGCAGCGGCTGCGAAGGGTCAGGAGATTAACGTTAGCGGCTGGGCTTGGATTAGACTCGGCCTCAACCAGCACGGCGAGTACGTCATGCGCGCGGGCAAGAGGCGTCCACTCCCTGGCCCGCGCCAAACCAAAAACCGCGCGGAGTTGTGGGCATTCTACGCTGCTTGAAGGGAACCGATGGACCGATGCGGACCGACTCGGGATACCTCATGGCGGGATGGAGGATTGCAGGACACACGCGGGCTGCTAACAAGGGTACGAATTCAGATTTATGGAGATTTATTGGCATCGAGCTGGACAAACCGTTCGGGACCAGTGGAATTATTTTAGACTGAAAGTCATCTCTTGATCGAAGAAGCTAAGAGACGTGGATGACCGAAGCGTGCGTGGGCTGGCAACTCCATAGCTGACAGATCAGCAGACCAGGCAGCAGCGGACCACAGCACACCTCAAGCACAGTTGGATTGCTATGATTGGATCAGAGCGGGTCCGTTTGTGGCCAGGGACAGAATCTGCCAGGCTACCCACGGTGCTTTCGAACGCCGACCTCCATGTCATGCAGATAGGAAGCGACAGCGAGAAGACGAGAAAGCAGATGCGCCGGCGGCCAAGCCAGTGCTGATCCCGATCAAAGACCTGGTCCCTAAGTGCAGCCACGACATAGACAAGGACGGGAGGCAGGCGAGATGGACGTGCAGGGGTTGCCGGCAATCTATTCCCAAGGCAGGCTCCAAGACGCTCGCCAGGAGTTGGCCGAACACGACTTGCCAGCGCACAGCTCTATCGACCAGACCTCGTCGCGAGATTCTTGTCGGTGGCCAGTTTTCTCATCGCACCCACCCAGTGTTGTTCAGCTGTCAGGAGAATAATTGGTTATCTTTACTCTGCGTTGCACGAGCTTGCCCTGGACAGCACGTTTTTGTTGGCAAGCACTTGATCGAGGAATGTAGCAACTCACCAAACTGCGCTTCTGGCAAGCACCTCCTGTCGAAGTTGCTGACAACCGCAGGCTGGAATGGCTCGTGGACAAAACCTGCGGCGGACAGTGCGAATTGCCTTATCCAAAGAGTACGTGCCCCTCGCGACGAGCTGAACTCCGATGCGGTATTGGCTTCGATGGCGGCGGCATCTTCATCATGAACACCGAGCCCAGTGGCTCCATGTGGAGTGGGCAGTTGTGTCGACCGGGCCCACGGCTTTTTCCGTTAGAACGCAAGTCCTGATGCGTTCGGCGACCCCAGTGGTGCGTCGCGACGTTGGGCACGTTAGAATGCAAGTCCGGATAAGATCGGCGCCCTTTGGGGCGGCGCGACGTTGGGCTCACGTCGCCACACAGAGTCGCCACGTTTTGCTCTGGGTTATTGTATGGTGCTTCCAGAATGTTCGCTATCTGCATACCACCACTTCCCGCTGCAATCTCGACTTCAGCTTCGACGTGCGAGCTCTGGGGGCTCTTTTCTTCTATGATGTGTATGCCGCCGTGGTCGTGGGCTGCTCCGAGGTGTTCGAGCTGCTCATCTAGGTCTGCGCGGCGCGAGCGGGGCCCGTCCGAACGGGGCCCGAGCGACACCGTCGCTGCCTGCGTCCTGCCTCCTCCTCCTCCTCCTCCTCCTCCTCCTCCTCCTCCTCCTCCTCCTCCTCCTCAGGCTTCGTTCACTCCTCCTCCTCCTCCTCCTCCTCCTCCCCCTCCTGGGCTGCAGGGGCCCAAGACGGGGCTGGAGCCCGAGTTGTTCCCCAATCAGTGCTTGTACTGAAGGGGTCCTAGCGGATATCGACAGATTTGGCGAAAGTGTCCCGCCGATTTTGGTGGCCGGCTGGGTTCCCGGGTTGCTGGTTCTGGTTTTGGGTCGATTTCGGTGGGTTCCGGGTTCCCGGGTTTTTTGTCGATCTCTTTGTCGAAAGCCATATATTGATTGTTTTTTTTCCTCTGGTGTATTTGATGGCTCCGGTCCAAGGAGTGGGGGCATGCTGGCCTCTTCCGCGGCGGGTGCTATTCGACAGCTGCTTCGCAATGGGCGAACAACAACAAGTCAGTCCGACACGCACCAGCCGTGGCACACAGCGGCGGCGGATCGTGGATGTCACGTCCGCTCCTTCTTCGTCTTCTCGGCGGCTCAGGGACGTCACGTCCCTCGGCTCTTACGGGACAGGGAACCCGAACCAAGCATAGTTTGACATACCCCCCCTACTGGGACGGCGTTGGTCCTGCTGTTCGCCCCCTCCATTGTGGACCGATGATCCCAGGTCGGGTGTTCCCCTCAAGATGGGATGGGCCCCCGTGTTCCACCGCCCCCCCCCAGATGGGATGGGGGGGGGCGAGGACACCGACGCCGCCGCCGCCGCCGCCGCCGACCACGACGACGACGACGACGACGACGATGACGACGGCGACGATGACGACGACGACGACGGCGGTGGCGGCGACGACGACGACGACGACCGACGGCGACGGCGACGGCGACGACGACGACGATCTCATGCTCCCTGAAGCGCCCTCGCCCGCCATAACCGCAGGCGACGACTGCTCGTTCAGTCGTCGTAGCCGTCTGCACGCATCCCACCCCGTGGACGTGGCTGACCCTCTCACCACGGGCTCTGGGCACACCCGTGGCGAGGCCAAAGCCCAGGGTGCTTGGGGAACGAATTCCGCATAGGCCTGCGACCTTGGTCTCATCATCCCGTCGGTATCGTTTCACCGATCCCCATCCCCATCCATCCCTTTCGAGACCCCCACCGAATTACCACCCCAGTTGGGGATACACCCCTCGAAACCCGAAGGGAGCGACCTATATCCCCATCTAGGGGGGTAAGTCAGCCAGTGGGGCCCAGGCCACGCCGCTGGGGATGGGGATCGGTTAAACGATACGCATCTCAGAAAGTTCTCGGCGAAAGCAGCGGGGCGTCCACTCTCCGCCACGCCAGGCCCACAGGGCCACGACCACAGGGGGGGGGGCGGGGGGAAGCAGCGGCACGCCCACCGCCCACCTTCCACCACGCCATGGAAAAAGCGCCGCGACCACAGGGGGGAGGGGTCCCAGGGGCAGTGATCCCATTCTCAAGGCCTTCGCGAGTCTCACGGGCGTACCCGTCCAGGCGGGGGTCGATCCGATCTGCATCGGGGATGGAGGCAACCCTGGATCATAGATGCCCTCTCCGTCGGGTTTCGCGGCGTCTATCCCCGCCTGCAGGGAAGGCTGGTGGCGCTCAGGTGCCCTCCCAATTCGGGACGGGGAAATCCAATGCCGATGCTGGCGAATCAGACCAAGCAGGAGGGAGTTCCCCTGGGTCCCTGATCCCCCCCCCTCTCGAAAAGAGATGCCTCGCCCAGCCCTGGTCGCCCCCTCTGCCTTGGCGTGCCCAGGGTCTCCCTCCCCCTCAGGCTCCCTCGCCCTCGACTCGGGGCTCGTGTACAGGCACCCCAAGGGCGCCCCGGTCAGCAAGATCGAGGCCCGCGCGGTCAACTCCACGCTCCAGTGGAGCCCGGCGGCGCGTCAGTGGGGGCCTCGCGCGTCGTAGGCCTTCGCCCGTTCCGGGCACTCCGGGGGGGGGGGGCTCGTGGCCACGGCCCGACGCAGCTCGAGGGCACGGGCCAGGACGCACCCCGGGGAGGGATCCAGAGGGCCCGTGTTGGCCGGGTTTCGGTCGAGGGGCGGGCGGAGGGGGGCGGCCTGCCAAGAGGGACGGCCACGGGGGGATCCCGCAGAAGCCGGCCTGGAAGCTTCCGGGCCCTGCTCTGAGGAGCCCCGCCCGCCAATGCCCTTCGCATAGAATCGGGGGTGGACAGAACCCCCAACAGCGACACGTCGATCAGTGAATTGTTCGTTTTTGTTTCGGTTCTCGAGATGGCGCCGTGGCCGTTATTTGCCAGGCTTGCGCCCGCCAGGTTTGGGCCTCAGGCCGTATTCACAAAACCACGTTTTACTAGAGGGGGGTCTGTCCATCTCCGATAGAAGGGCGGC